TATATGTATATAATACATTTAATTTTTAGATGCAAATCCTATTATGCCGGCCCACACTTTCTGCTCTAAACCCCGTCTGTTTTCACTAAGTCTTCATAGTTAAAGTATTAGTCAGTTTCTGGCTTCATTTTTCCCATCCACAGTTTTGCAGATGTGTTATAGAACTAATGGACATAGTTGCAAATTAAATGAGGGGTTTTAACCAAATTTAAACTGAACAAAATGTCCCAAAGTATTTTTTGTCTTTTTTTGAATTATTGCGTAAATCTGGGGCTTTATGCCCCCCAGGTACTGTTGAGATGTATTGTATTTTCTTAGTTATTACATATCTCACATGAAGCTGTGGCTCTATGCAAAACAGCCAATGTGTGTTAATAAATTTATTAATAATAATAAAATAATAAATATTAATAAATGAAATGCCACACTGGTGAGTCAAATAAAACTAGACATGCTACAGAAACAAACTAAGATTTGACCTGAATTCGGATACACAATCTAGTCTTTATCATTCCAGCCTCTTTCAATTAATCCAGCACAACACAGAATCCTCAGCCATTAAGATCAATGACCAACAGGTGGATTCAGTCAGCAGGAAAGGCCGTTCTTTATTCTATGTAATATAATAGAAGCTCTGGCTCTTTATTATACAGCTATTTTGCAGGGTCATTCCACCAGCCTGCCATAGGGTCCTGCTGGGTCTCTGAGCCCTCCATGTTAAGCCACTCTAGAAGGGAAATATGTATGATATTACATATATACGGACTGACCACAACACCACAAACGATGCCAGATGTGACAACTTTATTTTGATGCCAAGTAGAATTGTCTGAAGCAAGTAGTTTTATTGAAACCTATAAACTAAATCAGCACTGGTTTGGTTTAAAGTGCTGATTGAATGGTTTACTACCCATTCATTGCCAAGCAAACTGCCCACCACGTTCTGCAATGTATCTTCGTGTCTTTGAAAGGCTAGATTCAGATTGTGAATTAAGTTGAGCTTATTTAATTGTAATTTATTAAAAAAATTTCATGTATGAGGAAATGAAAAGACATTTCTTTTGGCTTTTTTGTTGTTGTTGTTGTTGTTGTTGTTTGGTTTGCTCTGTACTGTCTTAACAAAATGTAAAATACTGAGGGTTTCCTTTAGACTTGTAATCCCTTATCATGGACAAATATGGTTGAGTCCTAAATTAGGATCTCTCCTTCATCTCTGTGGTGTTTGTAACACAGCAGGTCTTAAAGTGTCACTCTGATCACGAATGGATGCATATAGAGAGCTGTGGTTCAACTGTGTCAATATAATGTGAAAGTAGTTGATTGTGTCTAAACTCAAGAATTACATTACTGCACTTTTTCATATTCTTCCGTTTTGGTGCCTCTCCATTGAGGCAGAACTGAAATGGGGCAAAAAAAAATTTATTTATTGTGTGCTTATGTTTAAAACCCGTAACATTTCAGTAGTACTAACAGCTCTACGTTAGTGCTAATGCAGATTAAGGCTTTGTGGAGATTGTTAAAAGCTATTTCAAAATCCACAATCAGTTTCAAAACATATCTAGAAAACTGGAGGTCAAATTAGCGTGTTTATACTGGAGGGATAGGTTAAATTTTTGCTCAATATATTCAAACTAATGTTTTCTACTGATCATTACTGCGAGTGCCATATCTGGTTGACCAGCTGTATTTTGAAAAGGCAAAATTACGATTTCAGTTGCAACTTTGCAACTTCGGTTTGTTCCTAACAGGGTTTTTAGACTAGAAAGATTTTATTGTTGGGAAAAAAGGCTGTTGGGAAGATATTGGCAGTATTATTCTGTTGTAAAGTAGTCGTTTCATAGAATGTGGTCAAGAGTCACTAAGGCACATGACGTAATTCAAACATTTTTGATAATTTCTATCAAAACTGAACTGCCAATGTATCAACTATCCCATTCATAAGTCATTATGAACCACCATGCCAATTGGACATGTTCTTTAAACTCCTCACACCACTCTTTTGCCTCATTCTGAGATAACCTAATCCACCCCTCACTATTGTGACCTCACAGATGTAAACATGAGCCCTCCCCTTCTTACCAGTCTTGTTTTAACACTGTTAATGTTTGTGAATTTCACAAACATGTTTGTAAAAGTAAGAATTCTGCAGCAGAATATTTTCTGTACAGTATTTGTAAACTATATTTTTGTATATTTAATCAACATTTTGAAGAAAATAAAAAAATGCAAAAATGCTTTTTTTTTCTTTTGCTAATTTTGTTATATTCATTAAAATATGTTGCATGTGACTGACTTGAATTGTAAATAAAGTTGCCAAGTTTTTGAAATAAAGAATATTTGTTGTCATTCTTAAAACTGAAAAAAGAAACCTTCAAGAGCAGCATTACAATAAATACGTAGGAGGATAGTAGATAGTTTTACTTAAAGGTGGGGTAAGTGATTTCTGGTAGCCAATGTTGACATTTGAAATCACCGAAACAAACACGCCCCTACCCCAAAAGGGTCTCGCCCTATTTTGATAGCTCCGCCCCACACACGTACGCAACCCAGCCAACGATTAGTTCTGTGAAACAAAGCAAAACCAATGTTACACTGTGTCTTCACCGGACGCGAGTGGCGCGGCGCGACAAAATGCTATGGAACTCATTATAATCAGTGATGCTGTCTACACCATAGATATATATACATATCTATGGTCTATGGATGCGGCGCGGCGCGGCACGGCACGACACGACAAATCCCCAACAGAAAACTGCTGCTGCATTCTATTCATGACGTATTGACACAAATTTCAAATGATTTTCAACTGTTTCTTTGTCGCGTCCAGTCCTACTTCTTGCCTTAAGCCTTCTTTTGTTCCGCAGACGTTTTCCTCTTTCGTTTTTTATCTGCCATCTCTATCTTTCCATCGCTCGGCTCACTAATATCTGTCCTGTGCACTGAACTCTCTCTCCTCCACATCATGAGTAGACACGCCCCTTACTGCTGATTGGCTACAAGTTTGTTTTGCTATTCGGCCCGAATCAGTTTTCTAAAGCGTTTTTGAAAAATCGCTTACCCCACCTTTAAGCTCTCTAAGCAAGAAATTAAATCAAATAATATTGAAACTAATACCAGTTCCTGCATTTGGATCCAAAAAATGTGCACACATTTATTGATTAGTGATTTATTTATTAGTGACAAAAATGCATGATATATTTAGAAACATTTAGGCTATACATTAATAAACCGAATAATTTTACTTGCCATAGAAAAATTCATTTTGATGCGGAAAAAAAATTTTGTTTAGCCCAGATAGCACACGTACGTCTGCGAGATGTCTGTAAAAGATCACTTGATCTGGAGAGCATCTGCTGTGTACAAACATCTGACAGACGTCTGTAAGATGTCAGTTTTACATACATTCTAAATCATACACATCTTAAAGACATCTATTTGACATCTAATAGGAAACGTCCTATAAAGATATTGCAGATGAGCAAACACACTAAAAAAAAGTCTTGCTGATGTAAATGCAGACGTCAAATAGACGTCTCCGTGATGTACGTGTGCTATCAGGGAGCATGTTTATCACATTTCTTGCACTTATTTTAATCACAGGAAGCTTTATGGGCTCAAGTAGGCATCACATCATTTCCCCTTTGGACAATTTGCATACATTAATTTGGGACTGATTTAAATTTTTGACTTTTAATTAAAATTATGACTCATTTGAATTGTGACTCATTTCTCTCAAGAATTAACCTACTTGAGTGGTGTATTTTGGTAGCAATTTATTTCAGCGCTACACTCTCGGAAGACTATCCTTTCGTAATGATGAATTTCACCACACATAAGGTCTCAGATCTGTCACTAATAATGTGTGCATCTTCCATCTTCAGTGTTTGAACAATTCTCAGCAACTTCTCACGTCGTCTGTTTCGTTTGCTCTGCGATGCACAAATGTAATAAGGTCAAGGATATACATTCTGCAAACATCTGGTAATTTTCTGCAGTCGTAGGCTTTATGTACAGTAGCCTATACCTGCTCATTCTCTTGTACGTTTAATAGGGTCGTAAGAAAAGGATTAAAATTAGATTTTCGCTAGATTACTCGTATTCCCAACCCCGAAACAGGCCTACTCCTTACCCAACAACACCCTTTGCATTGTGCACCCCTCACATTTTAAAATTAAAATGTAAGCAAATAGTTACTAAATCGAGTTCACTCTTTATCCGAAATGCCAGTAACCCTTACTCTTTACATATTTACTCTGTCCTCGAGCCTACTGACCCATTAACGTTAACTAACTCTCGACGTGTTTCGCCTGCTACCACGTGCTTATCAAACACAACACAATTCTCTGGTGATACGGTGACAGGAGAGAAAGAGCTTGTCTGTATTGTACACAAGTAAATATAGCTATCCGTTTCTTTTCTAAGATAAAATTGCTCCTGAAAACTTGTATTTGTATCACACACAAAAACTTCCTACGCCTGATGTGAGTGATGAAACAATGTTTACACATAAACAGTTAGTAGCCTATATACCTGGTGTATGTGTAACAAAAAACCTGGAATCATTTACTTAAAGGTCCCATGGCATGAAAATTTCACTTTATGAGGTTTTTTAACATTAATATGAGTTCCCCTAGCCTGCCTATGGTCCCCCAGTGGCTAGAAATGGCGATAGGTGTAAACCGAGCCCTGGGTATCCTGCTTTGCCTTTGAGAAAATGAAAGCTCAGATGGCCCAGTCTGGAATCTTCCCTTTATGTCGTCATACGGGGAAAGGTTACCTCCCCTTTCTCTGCTTTGCCCGCCCAGAGAATTTGGCCCGCCCATGAGAAAATGAGCTACTACCGTGCGAGGCGAGCGCAATATTTTGTTTTCCTCGAGAGACATCATGGCTTGCAAACGAGCGAAGCATGGCAGTTGCCCCTCCTCTCTCCTCCTCATTAGC